GTTAAATGTGTTTCTACATGTTTCGCAACAGTTGCATGTTTCATCTCGGCTTTTGCTTACTTCCCCAATTTTCTTTTTCTTTCCATTCTGGCCTTTTGTGCTTCTACTCTCATTCCCATTTTCCACTCTTTTCTTTTCTTTTTCTCTCTTTCTTTGCTCTTTTTTTTCGTTTTCTTTTGGTTTTTCTTTGGCTCTCTTTTTCTTTCTTTTTGGTTTTTTTTAGGTTCTTTCCTTTCACATCCCTCTCTTATTTGAGTTATTTACAAAATCATGACTGGATCCGATGAGGATTGCCTACGTATCACGACGCCGCATGAATCAGATCATTACGTAGTTCAAGAAAAATAAATGCGAAAAAATAAAGAAACAATTTTTTTGGGAATTTTCAATTTTCATTAATAAAACTGCTAAACTTTTCTATTACAAAAGACTTCAACCCACTCATTTCTTGGAATTTTAAAAAAAAACTACAAACCGACTCAAAATAACTTTTAAACTAAGAAACTGAAATACAGACTCGATGAATGAAAATCATGAATATATAAGTGCTTCGACTCCTGGGGCCCGTGGGACATCATTCGGTCTTGCCACGGGCCTACGTCCGAGATCCCCTTGAAGACGCTCTGAATCACTCATTATTTGGCGGACGAATGTCATCACTGCAGCGAAGAAAGTGGTTTGAGTCATGTCCTCACATGCTTGGCATTTCGTGACGATGTAGTCGGCAATGGCTCCAACCCTCTCCCGGATAATACCCTTTTCTTGAAGCAAGCGCCCGATGAGCTTCTAGCACCTGATTGTCATGATGGTTTTGATTCTGTAACTGTTGTACATCTTCTTCCATCTGGGCCATCAAAGCATAACAATGTTCCCTATCGGCTTTAAAATCTTTAGCCTGTTTAGCCGCCTCATTCTCAAGGGTAGTTAGCTTTCTCCTCAGATTGGTGATTGTCCCCTCATATTTTCTTTTCATTTGTTGCACAAACTCTGTCCGCCCTGCTGCATTCTTTGCCAGTTGTGCTCAGACTCTTGCTAAACTGGCTTCAGATTTCTCTAAGTCATCTTGACACTCGAGCACTTTCTTTCTCAAACCGCTTATAAGCCTGTCATCAACTCGGCTTCTCTCCGGGTTTCTAGCAGCTATTCTCATTTTCTGGATCTGAGCTTTGAGGGCTTCGTTTTCCTGAGCTAGCTTCTTCTTCTCACCCTCATCTGCAGCGGCTTGCACATCACTAGCGAATTTGAGGTCTTTGATCTGTCTTTCTAAACTGCTTATGGTGGCCCGATATTTATTTTCTTTCGCCAACCACTCCCAATGTTCTTGTGATGCTTCGACAAACTCTTGGAGGCGGGGTCTTTTAGCTGGCCTTCCAAATTCAACTTCCCTTTTGTACCAAGCGAGGTAACCGAGCGAGGCTTCACCTCGGGATAAATCACGCACTCGGGTATTTGCTGTTAGATATTGGCATTCACTCCAAATCTGGCGAACGACTTTTTCGTGAAACTGTCCATCAGAACGGATCTCAACCACATGGAGGCTAAGGTCTTCATCCTTGGGCACAATTTGACATCTCCCTAGCTGTCTCAAAACCCTGTATGGGGCATAAGGCTGGATACTTCTATGACCCATCAGGAGGAAATGAGGCCCGGTAGCTAGCATGTATATGATTTCATCAACAGGAAGCCACCCGAACGTCCATTCTATTTGATTTGCAGTGACGGAGCGGAGGCGTGATATCCATTCTGTGACCCTTTCTGGCATGCTAAACCCGTCGACCCTTGTATAAAACTCCCCTATGCAGCTTTTCCCTGTCGACCCATAGTTCATGTATTGAGGACGATGACATAGATGTTCAATCATCCACATTTGTAGCAACAAGTTGCACCCTTCAAAAAAGTCTCCTCCGGCTTTGCAGGCTGTGAGAGCTTGGAAGATTTCAGACATTATCATGGGTGCAAGGGTGCTTTTGGCCTGAGTAAGCAAAGTGCTGACAACCCCATCTATCCGTATATCGATATTCCCATCTTTCCTGGGAAACACTAGAATACCCAAAAATACCACCATAAAAGCGAAGCACCTGTGTTCTTCCCATTTTATGCGATTCCCTTTGCTGCAAATTTTGCTTTCTGGATTGTTAAACCCCCCTATGTGTCCGTATCGCTGGTATATGAACTGCGGAGAGGAAAAACCAGCTGCCAAATCTGGGTATTGGACCCCCCTGCTTATCTTTAGCAAATCTAGAAACTTGTGTGCAGCGACGACTCTTGGAGCGATCAAATACTTGTGTCTCAGAGGAGCTTCAGTGCTCCCAATATATCCGGCTATTTCTTCCAAAGTGGGTGTGAGTTCAAAATCCGAGAAGTGAAACACGTTGTGAGCTGGGTCCCAAAACGTAACCAGTGCCTTTATTATGTCTCCTCTAGGCCTGATCTTCAATAACCCGGTGAGACCTCCCAAGTAGAGATTGACCCTATCTTGTCCTGATTTACCTAGATCTTCCCACCACATATACAGCTCCAAAGGAATCTTGGTCATGACTGTCATTGGCAAATTTTGACTCGTGCTCATTCTGCACATTTAAATTTGATTGATTTAAAACAAAACGAATTTTTTACAAAAGAGGTCAATTTCGCAAACATTTAAATAACACGGCTACTTTTGCAAATACGGCCCTTCAGCACTTCGAAAGGGGAAGATTTTAGGGATGTGCTTGCTTGGTAGCCAAAAATTTGAAAAAGGGATGTAGGTGGTTATTCTTGCAAAAACAGCCTTCCGGCGTCCTTTTGGGGACATTTTAGGCTATTTAGACAAGAACGACACTACCTAATTTTATTTAAGACAGGATAACAACACTTCAATTTTTTGCAAAAATAGAGTTGAACCCGATGGGGGTTGCCTACGTATCTCACATCCGGTGAGAATCAAACTTGCGTAGTTCGGTCGGTTTTGACATAATAAAAATAGAGAAAAGACATGAAACTTTTGAAACCAAATTCTTTCTTCTTTTTCCTTTTTCTCTTTTTTTTTTGAAATTTTGGCAGAGTTTCGGCTTATTTTGGACACCAGTTTTTTTTTTTTCAAAAACGGGTAATCAACTCTCTCATACCTCAATTTTATTTTCCCAATTCCTTCCCTATTCTAGCAACCGGTCAACATGCAAACCGAAGCAAAGAATTGTACAAGTAGCACGTAAAATATGCATCAGGATGGTCTTTGATTTTGGGGTCCACCTGTCCTAGACGGACCCAACCCCTGTGTTGAGTCCCCAAAGTCAAATGCACATGACACAAACAAACGTTCCTACTAGGGATCCAGCATGAGGCTGAGTTATTCTAAGTATAAAACCTGGGTATACTATTCTAGACTTGTGTACCCGAGCGGACAACTCGAGCCGAGGAGGGGGCTACGTACCGGGAACCAAAAGGCCATCCGGCTTTGTAACTTGTCCGAGCCTCTTTCTTATTTCAAGGTATGACACTAACAGAATAGGGAGTCACGCCAGCGTGCACATCCCCGAAGATGAGAAGAGAAGGGTTTCGTAACAATTTATATACAATTCAAATAATATCAAAGCGGTAAAGAGCGGCATTTAGCACATTAGGCCCAAACATGTAAAAATCAGGTAATAAATAAAGCCAACTATAACAGTTATTCTAAGCTCGAATTCTTGAACCCTGAACCAAAGTTCTGGGTTTTGATCCCCAGCAGAGTCGCCAGAGCTGTCACACCTCCTTTTTACACCCCGAGGGGGATATAAGGGAGTTTTTCCAATTTAAGTGACATTATTCGAAATGGGATTATTTATTCATTTTTATTCAGAGTCGCAACTTGGAATAGTTTATTTGGTGTCCCAAGTCACCGGTGTATTTTAAAATCCCAAATCGAGGAAAATTCGACTTTCCTTTTGAAGTCTGCGAACCAGAATTCTGAATAAGGAATTTTGTTAACCCGAGGGAAGGTGTTAGGTACCCCCGGATTCCGTGGTTCTAGCACGGTCGCTTAAACTATCATAATTGGCCTATTATATGATTTTAATACATGTTTTAACCTATGGTTCAATTTTAACTTTATAACCGCTTTTATTTGATTATTTTTAGGAAAGATTCAACGTCATCTAAAATACGTCTTGAACCACGTCACATAAATGCACCAGCGATCCACGACACATTTTATTTAACGTTGTTGAGATTTGGATTTGGGTCACATGAAATGCACACCCGAGTTTAGGAAAGTAATTTTTTTTTAAATAGCGCGCCTAAAGCAACTACGCACTTTCGAATTTGCGAGGGCCATGGAAATTTCAACTAAATGGCACGCCTCGATTTCTAAGGATTAAAGTTAATTAAGCGAGGGCCATGCATTTTGAGATTTTATTTGGCACGGCACACCTTGATTCCAATTTTAAAGGAATTCAAACTAAAGCTTTTGAGGGCCATAACTATATCTTACTTAAAATTGCACGCCTCAAATCCACTTTAAGAATCTAATCAATTTATTAAAAGATTAATGGGACTTCTGATTCACTTTTAAACCAAGCTAATCTAAATTTTAATAGCCACAAAACTAGTAGTAACAGAACCCACGTTTGATTATTGAGGAGTCTAAGCTGGCTATGGGCCTAACGACCAATTGTCAATAGCCTGAGCAAGCATGAGGATACGACTGGGCCTATCCTGAAGCCCAGATCGAAGATAGGCCTGCCGAGAAGGGGAATTCAGCACAGCTGGGCCAACGACATTAAGCCCAAGAAGCAATGCGATAAAACAATTCTTATTCACAAACAACACTACGTTCATGCTCAAATAATTCTGATTCCCCAAATAACTTTAAAACCCAAGCTCAAAGTAAACAATATACTCATGACAAAATGATAAAAGCCAAGCAATGTGGTCACATTTTAAGATTTACAGAAGAAGAAGAACCTATTGCTCTCAATACTACAAAAAGGCGATAATCGGGGTAAGCCAGAGCTGTCACACCTCCTTTTTACACACCCGAAGGTAGTATAAGGGAGTTTTTCCAATTTAAGTGACATTATTCGAAATGGGATTATTTATTCATTTTTATTCAGAGTCACCACTTGGAATAGTTTATTTGGTGTACCAAGTCACCGGTTTATTTTAACATCCCAAATCGAGGAAAATTCGACTTTCCTTTTGAAGTCTGCAAACCAGAAATGCTGAGTAAGGAATTCTGTTAACCCGAGGGAAGGTGTTAGGCACCCCCGGATTCCGTGGTTCGAGCACGGTCGCTTAAATTATCATAATTGGCCTATTATCTGATTTTAATACATGTTTTAACCTATGGTATAATTTTAACTTTATGACCGCTTTTATTTAATTATTTTTAGGAAAAATTCAACGTCATCTAAAATACGTCATGAACCACGTGACATAAATTCACCTGCGGTCCACGACCCATTTTATCTAACGTTGTTAAGATTCGGATTTGGGTCACATGAAATGCACACCCGAGTTTAAGGAGATTAATTTAAATTACGCGCCTAAAGCAACTACGCATTTCCAAATTTGCGAGGGCCATGGAAAATTCAACTAAATGGCACGCCTCGATTTCTAAAGATTTTAAAAAAAAGTGAGGGCCACGCATTTTAAGATTTTATTTAGCACGGTGCACCTCAGACTATTAAAGGGACTAATTAATTAAACAAGGCTTAAATGGAATTCTAATTTTTTTTTTCAACTAAGGATTCGACCCTACTTATCAATTAACAAGCGTCATATTGAAAGACCAATTAACTCAAGGAAAAAATTGCTTCAACAAACAGCAACTAAATGAACCCAGTTGTGAATGCCTTCAGGCTTGGGCCTTTCTGGGAGGTAGAGCTCAATTTTGTGTATAATGTTGTGGCCGCGTGCAAGGTTGCGCGTTCACCACCACATACCAACAAAACCAACCACCTGAACAGAACCTGGCTAATTTGCTCATACCAACAACCTTGTTAGTTTTGAGACATTTAACATATCGCATGTTGGGATGCAATGCACCTAACAGTTAAATGCTTCTACCGTATGTTTAAACGGTTGCATGTTTTATCCCGGCCTTAACTAACCCTTTCAGTATGTACCTCTTTTATTTTATTTTTGCCTCTCTCTTTTTGGCCTTCTCTTTTTTCTTTTTTTTTTTTTTTTGCCACTCTCTTTTTTTTCACTTTTTCTTTCTTTTTTCACTCTATTTTTCTCTCAGTTCATTTATGACTATGATCGAATCCGATGGGGATTGCCTACGTATCATGACCCCGCATGAATCAGATCTCGCGTAGTTCGGGAAGATCGAAAATGGAGTAAATAAACTAATTTTTTTTTCGAAAGACTTTAAAAGAAGAAAGGAAATATTTTTTTTTATTTGATTTTGACTTTTGTTTTGTTTTTTGAAAGAAAGACTTCTAAATATTCAATTACTTTTGATTTGAACTTTGGGAATTTTAAAAGTAAAAAGAAAATATTTTTTTGTTTGAATTTTCAATTGTTTTCTCTTTTTCTAAAGAAGAAAGAAAATATTTTTGGATTTTGGATGTTGCTCTTAATTTTCGAAAGAGGGACTTTTAAGAAAATATTTTGGATTTCTGAGTTTTTATTTATTTACAAAAGCACTTCTAAAGAAAAGTGAAAATACTTTTGGACTTCAATTTTTTTCAAAATTTTTATGGACATTTACAAAAGAAAGAAATCTAAAGAGTATTTTTGGATTTTTGTTTATGATTTTTGTTTTTGGAAAAATACTTCAATATAAAGGAAATCCGTATTTCGGATTTTTATTCTTTTTGATTTTTCTTTTTATTTCTTTTTCCATATGAACGACTTCAGAAAGAAGGAACTATTTTTGAGTTTAAAAACTTTTTTTTTTTTGAATTTTCTAAGAAAAGATTTCTAAAGAAGGAACTAAAAGAAAAAAAAATTGATTTTTTTTTTGAAAATTGGGGCCGAAACCGATGAGGTTTGCCTACGTATCTCACATCCGGTGAGAATCAGACCCGCGTAGTTCGGTCAGTTTTGACATAATAAAAATAAGGAAAAGACATGAAACTTTTGAAACCAAATTCTTTCTTCTTTTTCCTCTTTTTTTGAAAGCTATAAAATAAGGATTGTGTCTTTAGGAAGAAAAGGTGACTAGGGAATGGAGGCCCTATGTCTAAAATCTCAACTAGGGAATGGAGGCCTGTGACGACCCGGCCCGTCGTCACGTGAGTTACCGCCCCGTTTTCCCCATTTTCTGCTTCCTTATGTTTCATTATGAGAGTCTTGGGTGAACGAGTCGAATTGGATTGATTTTAGAAGGAAATGAGACTCTTAGTCTCTTTAAGGAAGGTTTGTTTTGGAAAAGTCAACCGGATGTTGACTTATGAGTTAGAGGGCTCGGATGTGATTTCCGGTGATTCGGGTAGCTTCGGGGGATGATTTGTGACTTAGGAGTGAGATCAGAATTGATTTTGGAGGTCCGGTGTAGAATTAGGCTTGAATTGGCGAAGTTAGTATTTTGGCGAATTCCGGTTGATAGGTGAGATTTTGATCCGAGGGTCGGAATGG